GTTGTTTTGAACGATTCACAAGGCTCGTCTCTTCGAAGACTCTTTCAATGGAACCTAAGTAAGAGCATCTTTGACGGTTTTTCCTTCTTTTTCTGCCCTGTTAATCTCATTATATCTACGAACCCTTACTTGAATTGTAAAGTCCAAAATCATGGAATGTGTCACCGGCATTTCAATAATCGTTGATCTAATCTGAGGAGCTTCAGGAGACTGGAATGGAGCTGGATGTCACACTAACTTCTCCACTGCTTCGATGAGGAAGCCTGGAGGTATCAAGTAAGTGTTAGCTGCCGCGGCCAGCTTTCTTCCATGCGTTGATCAATCTTTACCTGTTCATTGTTCGTGTTCCAGCGATATCTTGACTGCGATCAACAAACTGTCCCTCGTTCATCATCAACATATCGCTTACTACGATCCCAAGGGAGGAAAGGTTAGTGAACATTAGCCTGGTCACAGCACAGCAGTCTACAATGTATCCAGTAGACCACAAGGTCGCGAGTGGGAGCATGCCACTCGTTGATCCGATTTTTGCTTGACTGTTGTTCTTACGGTTCTTATCAGAACTGTTCAGGACAACGAACGTCGCCTTACTGGTCTCCATGAAACCGCCAAAATCGACCAATTCTCCCATGGTGTCGCATCCAGAGCCAGTTCAATTCGTATTCCTCGTCAAACGGATGACGATGGCTATGTAAGAACTATTTTATGTTTCGCTGAACCTTGTCGCCCTGGCAAAAACAGATCAAAGTCGAGAAGTTGCTCGGCGTTATTCAGTATTGTGGGCTGCTCCATGTAATCGTCTTCCGACAATAGAAGGCAGAACGAAATTCTTGAAAGACGCGAAATTTGGACAATCATTCTGGACTGGAAATGCAAAACCCTTCTGATGTTTTCCCCGCCCAAGTTCCTGTCTTATATGCGGACACAACGCATTTTTTCAAACTCTACGCTTCTCCTTTATCTAGAGATCATGATCATTTCAAAACGCATTTCTATCAATACGTTTATACCATTTTCACTTTAAATTCACCACTTTTCAAAGCCAAATTCACCACTTTTCAAAGCAAATTCACCACTTTTCAAACCAAATTCACCACTCTTCTTAGACCAGGCAGTTCGCCAACCAAATCACGCCAGACACCACCGCGAACCCTGCCCCGACGGTCACGCCTACTTGTCAGCGCGGACATAGATTTTCAACACATGACTGACTCCGCCCATTCTTTAAAGTTTGTCGCGAACTTCAAACCTTCATAACTTTTTCAATTTTTAATTTCACGTCTACTCTTCGCACAACGAAGGTACTCGTAGACGCGCATTCATGCACCGGCAATTTAGGCTCCGCCCCTTTGGCCACGCCCACTTGCTGTTTGCGGAATTATGATATTTTTTCAAAATTTTTGCATTTTCGAACTGCTCCGAAGCCGCGCTCACTGTGAGAGGCTCCGCCCACCTTTGGAGAAGCCCCGCCCACTCTTCAAAAGTGGTGCGGATCGGCAGTATAGAGCCATGGCTTGCATGGCAAGGGTATTGCTGGTCATTAGGAACAAACTTTGCCTGATTTATTTGTTCCGAGACGGACGAGACCCTAGCATGCAAGCCAAGGCTCTATACTGCCGATTTGCACCATTTTTGAAAAGTGGGCGGGGCTTCTTCGAAAGTGGGCGGAGCCTCTCACAGTGGGCGGGGCTTCATGGAGCAGTCCAAAAATGCAAAAATTTTGAAAAAATATCATAATTCCGCAAACAGCAAGTGGGCGTGGCCAAGGACGGAGCCTAAATTGCCGGTGCATGAATGCGCGTCTACGAGTACCTTCGTTGTGCGAAGAGTGGATGTGAAATTAAATTGAAAAAGTTATGAAGATTTGAAGTTCGCAACAAACTTTAAAGAATGGGCGGAGTCAGTCATGTGTTGAAAATCTATGTCCGCGCTGACAAGTAGGCGTGACCGTCGGGGCAGGGTTCGCGGTGGTGTCTGGCGTGATTTGGTTGGCGAACTGCCTGGTCTAAAAGAGTGGTGAATTTGGTTTGAAAAGTGGTGAATTTGCTTTGAAAAGTGGTGAATTTGGTTTGAAAAGTGGTGAATTTGGTTTGAAAGTGGTGAATTTGCTTTGAAAAGTGGTGAATTTGCTTTGAAAAGTGGTGAATTTAAAGTGAAAATGGTATATTTGACGCGTCGAGTTTTTAGGGCTACTTCGAAGATCGCCGGCCGTCATCGAACTGCGATCCTTACAACGTGACTGCCGCTCTCGTGCGCACAGTCTGCCTGGATGGTGATGATCGGAAACTTTCTATGATGTACGTGCCAACCACGTGTATTAATAACTAATTATTCATCAAACAACCTTCTCTCTCGCTCCCGCTTCTTTATGTGATGCCTCATCTTAACTTCTTTACGTACTTACTCAGCATATCTACCTCGTCAATTAGCAACAATCTATTCTAACTGCTTTTTAATAAGTTTCACAAACTTACTCATTCCACAAACTTACCTCGTTATTCAACAACGATCTGTTTTAAGTACCCTTCACCTTCCGTGCCCTCAATATTTTCACGTGGTTCTAAACATTTATTGACTTCATTAGTTCTGCTCCTAATCTATTAATGTGCTTTTTGATATTCTGTACAGATTTTTATATTTCATAAAATTTTACAAAAGTCGAGATATGCTGTGGTCCATGAGTTGTAGAGCTGAAAGTGGCAGAACATATCAACTTGTAGCCCAGTTTCTTTCTTGAGGGAAAGAGCTTCGGTGTACGCGTGAGGTGGACGCGCCAATCAAAACAGGTAACCACGACCTCAGTGGAAGGATAGCGATAAGGAGCTTACACTCAAGTCCGCTGCGGACGGTTGGGCGTGTCAGCCAGTAAGGCTGCGTTTATACTTTGCGGCAGCGTAGCGTAGCGCTTCCAGCGTACGCCAGCGGCAGTGCCGGGGAGAGGATGCATATCGATCTAGCGTTCCCAGCGTCACCA